TGAGGTTGCAAGATAGGCGCGTTACCGATCACAATAATATTTTTGATAAAATTGGAAATAAATAATAATTTAAATAATACTATGTAAATTGAATCTTTACGAATTATACAATGCAAAGTATACTTACTTTAAAATCGGTGGCGGTAGTCACTCGCACTCATTACCAGCAACTGAGCATCTCACGTATTTGCTTTTGCGTAGTAGTTGCATTTGTGACGATCTTATTGATCAAAAAATGAATAAGTAAAACAAGTCATGACAAGCAGAGGCAAGCAGAGACAAGCACACAAATACACATGATCAGTAGCCCGTTTACCCATGTATGTTGTATTTTTATACTCTTGCAACATGTTGCTACAGGTTATAATAGTTTTGTTCACCCAACGGCTGTTTGTATCATCTAATACTAGTCGAGATAGATATTGAGTTATATATACATATATAAATGATACGGATGACGAGACAAGTTGAAATCCGGATGACTGTCTATCTGTCCGAGTAAAAATATAGATATCTTGATGAAATTTCGCACACGTATTCCTTGGCATTCAAGGAGGTTTGGCATTGCAAATGGGCGAAATCCGACCTTTGCCATAACAAGCCATTAATCGAAAACCTATAAAGCACCATGACTAAATAGAAGGTTGCTATTTAGTACAGCGAATTGCATTTGGAATCATCACCTATGATTTACAAGTTTTTTAAAAATGGGAATGGCCCTTTAAAACCTTAAATTTGGGGTAGAGTCGGATTAAGAATTCCCTTAGCTCCCATATACCTAATAGAAAAATTTTCAAACTTCTGGCTGACGTTCTACCGCATACGAGTATATCGGCAAATACGTGAGCTTACTTAATAAAATTTATTGAGCATGTTTTTCTCCTAACGGTGCATCTTTGTGTCCAAAATGGATAAAATCGGCTGAAAACTTGTCCTAGACCCCATATAACACATATCAGGATTTTCAAACATCTAGTTGCCTTTACTCCATAAATATTGGTGATGGTTTGTGAAATACCTTAATGAAATTTAGGGAGCATCTTTCCTTGCTAATAACATGTAGTAATGCCAAAAATAGATAAAATCGGGCCAATATTACCTCTATCTCTCATACACCTAATATAGGATTTTCAAACTTCCGATTGGCTTTATACTATATTGGTCGATGCGGAAAATATGTTCGCAAAATTAACTGAACGTATGATATTGAATATACAAGGTGCAATTCAAAAGTTTCAGGACTTTTATTAAAAAACGAATATTATTATTATTTTTTTTTTTTAATTTATTTGTCGCCTTCAAAATAGTCTCCTTCTGCCTGAATACAACGTTTTGCACGTTCAAGAAGGTTATCGAATGACTTTTTTAAGTCATTTGTCGGTATAGCGTTGAGGATGGCGGTCGTCGCCTTTTGGATGGCATCAAAGTCAGCATAGCGGTTTTCCTTCATGGCCTTTCCGAAAGGTAGAAGTCACACGGTGCCATATTAGGTGAATACGGGGAGTGGTTGATTGTTAAAATTTGATTTTTGGTCAAATAATCGGCCACGTGCAACAAACGCCAACTTCCATCTTCGCGATATTCGTGCCGAATGCGACGAATACGTGCTACCAAACGCTTAAAACTCCAAGGTAGAATACCGCATTAACGTTTTGGTCAGGTGGAACAAATTCTTTGGGGACAATCCCCTTGAATCATAAAAACAAATCAGCATTGTCTTCAGTTTTGACTTCTCCAGGCGCGATTTTTTGGGTTTCGACTCATTTCTCATTTATGTCCTCACGACCACTTTTAAAACGTTTAAACCACTCGCGAATACGGCTACGGGATAGACAATCATCGCCATAAACTTGTTTCATCATTTGATGAGTTTTGGTAAAAGTTTTACCAAGTTTAAAACAAAACTTAATGTTGGCTCTTTGTTCGATGCTCATTTTCCGACCGACACTACAAATGTAATGTCACATTTAGCGCGATATCTCAGCTGTTATATAAACTTTATACGACAACACTGAATTACTAATTACTAATTACCTAAACTCATATATACTACATATAATGATTTTCGTTAGTCTAACAAACCTTTTACCAAATATGTCGGCCAGTTTGTGAGTTATATGTTTTTATGTACAAGTATGTGCGTTTATAAATTGCTTGAAAATATTTTCTCGAGTATACCTGAATAATGTCAAAAGTTTGTGCACTCAAACTTATTGACAATTGTAAACATTTTTGTTGTGTTTTATGTATGCTGAACGCAAATTCAAATTGTTTTATTCGTTTTGAAATGTTCTTAGCATACATATCGATAAACTTTTTGTTAAAATGACAGATAATTAATTTTAATAATTTCGTTTTGTATAAAACCGTGCACACATATATTTAGTTAAATATAAGCCTAACAAAAACATACTTATTACTATATAAGACCAACTTGCGTATTGTACTATGCCTAAGTGCAATAATTAATAATTTTTGTCATATCCACTTTGTTTGAAATTCCTGTATAATTGTTATACATTTTCTTATACAAACTATATGGGGGCTAGGGAATATTTTGACCCGGTTTTATCCAGTTATGGGGTTACGACATATCATTATCAGAAATAGAAGCCAATTTAATATTGACACAGATCCCCAAAAGCTCTATCTAATAGTAATAAGTGTCTCCCCTAATAACTTAGTAACATCTATTAAAAATTTGGATGGTTATTCCACCTAAAAAGTCTATATTTATTTCGAGACTTGCCAAAGACACCTTGGTGGAGGACATTGAGTCTTACTCACGTTTAAAAATTGATAATATCTATATCCGTAAATTTAACTTCAATTATGATGGAAGTATATCATCGTTTAAAATAGACGTATCTCTTGAAACATTCAAAAAGATCTTAGACAGTTCATTCTGGCCACCTGGGGCTTTTGTACGCGAATTTAAGCCTAAACTTAGAAGTCAAACTGAGGAAAACATTGCTAAATTACCAAAAGCAACCACCGATATAAAAAACTGATTGGAAATTCGCTAAGCATTTATTATCAAAATGTTAGAGGTCTTAATACAAAATTAACTGATTTATATTTAAACAGTTCCACTTTTAATTTCAATATAATTGGATTTACAGAAACATGATTAAAACCTCACATTTTTGATAATGAGATTTTAAACAGCGAATTCCAAATATTTAGATGTGATCGACTGAAAAGAATCGGTGGAAGTGTTCTATTTACCGTACATTCCTCTATCCCATCTGAAGATGTTCTTGTTCCAGGAACCGACTCATTTGAATTTAAGTGTATTAGAGTAAATGTTAATAGTTGCTTTATTTATTTAACCCTGTCTTATATACCACCCCATTCGGACTTATCTGTATACATGCAGCATGCTTCTTTAATAAATAGTGCAACTTCGATGGCAAATAATGCAGATTCAATAATCGTATTAGGATTCAATTTACCGTGTGCTTCGTGGAAAGCTTTCGATGACTATATCGTACCGATTTGCAATCGGTCATGTTTTCATGAGTTTTTCGAAAAAATGTCCGAGTTTGGTCTGAACTAAATTAATTTGATTCCGAATAGATTTAATAAATGCTTAGATTTAGTATACGTTGATACCTCTTCAAATCGTTCCGTTATTCAGAGTAATCCTCTTGTTCTACCAGAGGACTCGATCATCCTGCTTTGGAAATATCTGTCGAATTAATGAGCAATGTACGCGGTAATAATAATCAAACTTCGTGCTTTCCTACTCGGTTCAACTTTGCAAAAGCTAATTTTAAAAAGTTAAATACAGAACTTTCTACAATATCATGGCCTAATTATAATGGTGATATTGAATTGAATGTTTCTCATTTTAATAACACTATTACGAAATTATTTGAAAAGTATGTTCCAATAGTAATTGTTAATAAAAGTAAAAGTAGAAGTCCGTGGTCTTCGAAAGAGTTACATAAATTGAAAAACAAAAAAACTCGAGCCTTTAAACATTTTAAAAAACTCGGGTCACTTGTCGACTATTCTAAATATTCTGTATTGCGTGGACAATATTTTGACCTAAACAAAAAATGTTATAATAATTACTTAAATAAAGTAAAAAAAAATGTTGTAAGTAATCCAAAATCGTTTTATGATTTCGTCAACTCCAAACGCAGGATTTCCAAATTTCCGTCCGCGATGAAATACAACTCTATCATTTCAACTGACAATGTTATTATATTCAATATGTTTGCAGAATTTTTCAAGTCAAACTACTATAATAATTCTTCCAAAACTTTTTCTTATCAGCACCTGCTGTATTCGAATACTTTAATTAACGCTCCAGTTATTTCTGAAGAAGACGTCCTTTTTAAAAAATTCGTTCGTGAAAATTCGTTTCTTAGAGTCCCTACTGCATTTATCGTACAATATGCCAACAAAAGTTTCATGCGCGACTGAAAGAAGAAAAATAATTTTTGAAGAAACTCGAAAAAAAAAATTTATTCGTTTCAGAGGGAAAATAGGCCTCCTTGTTGACATTTCGAAAGTTGGTCACGGTAAAACCAATGACAGCAATCTGTCTAGAAGGTTTTTGAGGATCCAGAAACCTTTTTTCGAATAACGTTCGAATATTTTTTAGAGTGGAGTATTGATGTCCTAAATAGGTTATTATTAACTAATTAATCATTCTTGAGTCTTAAGTCTTGATTGCGGGTTCAAATCTTCCGACTTAAAGTACTGAATCAAAAATTTTAAATCATTAATTCCTTCCCTTATATTAAAAAAAAAAATAAACACACGTTTTTATTATTTTTTGTACTATTGGGATACATGTATGTACAATAAAATTTTGATAATTTATAATTTTTTATTTATTGTAAAAGTTACAATATTTAGCATGCTAATATAGAATATGAGCATCAACAAAAATTATAATTAAGATAATAAAAATAAATTGAAATAGGATATTTTAAAATTTGTTGATAAATAACTTGAAAATCAACTTTTATAAATGCATGACTTACTCTGAATAAAACCTTGTAATATCCTATGTCTTCGAAAGATACTTTAAGTGAGCTGGTAACTATTTCATCTACATTAGCTGGTCCTTGTACAGATGAAGATAATAATCCAGAAACAACTGAAGACGTATAGTAATTATATAGCAAAAGAGTGTTTATAAAAATCACAAAATATAATATTCTTATCGCAGATGATTGCGAAAGAGGATTCGTGGTCTGCTGACAAATAGCGGCTATGATGATTAAGAAAATGTTGCTAACGGGTTTTATTTTTCTTAAATTAGAATTGTGATTATCATTTGAGTATTCACTAAATACTCTTTTATGTCCTCTTTGTGTTAACTCAGTTAAATATCGTATACACTTTTTCTCCAATATTATATATTTTTTATTCTTCAATCGCAATTTGAAATTTACGCTACGTAGGAGCCCATATACTAAGGATATAACTGCAAATAACCACATAATTGCAAACCAAACGTCTCTTTTAAATGGAATCAAAAAATTATCTCCTTTTATTTTGAAACTAAGTTCCTGTGCATATGCACGGTATACAAATGCAGTTTCAAATTTCCAACCTTGATGTATTATATCAAAATCTGAGAAACGGTTAATTCGATTAAATATGCCAGAAGCTCCAACATCAGCCTCATTCCGAGCCATAATACCCAAAAAACCAAGCCTATAGCTTGTGTTATTCAATCTGCCTGCCCAGCCACGAGCAACACGAAATTCAATTCTGAAGTTAATATGATCTTTTAATATTTCAACTAGCGCATAATAATACTTCGTAAACGCAGAAATACCACTTTGTTTCCCAGCATCAGAAAGTAACGAAAATATTTTAATGTTGGTAATCACGTCATCTATATCAATCTGTAATTAATAAAATAAATTAATATGTTTATTCAAAACGAAATCACCAGATGAAAGCTAAGAGATTTTTACTATTTTATGTACATAACATCACATAGTTTTATTCTTACATATGTTTAAAATATATAATATTTTTTAAGTAAATGGAGTCAACTAAGGCCAAATAGAATACGTATTTCTGGCTGGGAAAACATGTTGGTGGAAATTATACAAATACTAGTTCCTTCATACTTTCTACTAAAACCTTAATGATGTTCCTTAGTTTACGAATCATAAATTATATGGATAACAGAAAGATAAACTTTAGAAAAGAAGAAAATTGCATATAACATACTTTACATACATATTTCACTTAATTAAGGCTCTACCAACAAATACTAAGTAATGTTAAAATGAAATAAAACACACAAATTTGGTAGAAATGGGTTCGGTTTTTATACCCTGAACAGGGTATATTAATTTTGCCACGAAGTTTGTAACACCCAGAAGGAAACGTCGGAGACCATATAAAGTATATATAAGGTTGGAAGGTATCTCTCTTCCGCTTTATTGTCTTTTGAATTTCGCGGCTATGTACAAGGCGCTACAGAGCTCGTATCTGGCAACACTATACATAATTTGAAAGGTCTTGACATAACCTACAAAACAACGCTATGCATGATTAGTTTGGATATTACGTTCAACAGTTATAGACGCGTAAACATGGAGTTTACTAACGCCGAAATTCGCGCCATTTTAAAGTTTTCCTTCGTTAAAGGCAAATCCGCTAGTGAAACGTTCCGTGAGATTAATGGTGTTTTGGGGGATGGCACTCTATCACTTGGAACCGCGGAGGAATGGTTTCGACGATTCAGAGCCGGTGAAAACGACACCATGGATAAGCCAGCCGGCGGAAGACCTGTGACGGCAAATACCGATCAAATCATGGAATACATCGAGTTAGACCGGCATATGGCATCTCGTGACATCGCCCAGGAGATGGGAGTTAGTCACCAAACCATTTTGAACCATCTGCAGTAGGCTGGATACAAAAAAAAGTTTGATGTTTGGGTGCCGCATAATTTGACGCAAAAAAACCTTCTGGACCGAATCAACGCCTGCGATATGCTGCTGAAACGGAACGAACTCGTCCCATTCTTGAAGCGGATGGTGACTGGCGACGAAAAATGGATCACATACGACAATATCAAGCGAAAACGGTCGTGGTCGAAGGCCAGTGAATCGTCCCAAACAGTGGCCAAGCCGGGATTGACGGCCAGGAAGGTTTTGCTGTGTGTTTGGTGGGATTGGAAGGGAATCATCCACTATGAGCTGCTCCCATATGGCCAGACGCTTAATTCTACCATCTACTGCGAACAACTGGACCGCTTGAAGCAGGCGATCGACCAGAAGCGTCCAGAATTGGCCAACAGGAAGGGTGTAGTGTTCCACCAGGACAACGCCAGACCACACACTTCGTTGATGACTCGTCAGAAGCTACGGGAGCTCGGATGGGAGGTTTTATCGCATCCACCATATAGCCCGGACGTAGCGCCAAGTGATTACCACCTGTTCCTGTCCATGGCGAATGCCCTTGGTGGTGTGAAGTTGAACTCAAAAGAGGCTTGTGAAAAGAGGCTGTCCGAATTCTTCGCAAATAAGGAGGGGGGCTTCTACGAGGAAGGTATTATGAAGTTGCCGTCTAGATGGAAACAGATCATCGAACAAAACGACGCACATTTTAACTAAATACGATCACTGTAACACTTTTTATAAAGCATTGAATGAAGAGCAAAAAAGCGGAAGGGAGATACCTTCCAACCTTATATATAAATGATCACCGTGACGAGTTGAGTTGATTTAGCCATGTCCGTCCGTCTGTCCGTCCGTCTGTATATACGCGAACTAGTCCCTCAGTTTTTGAGATATCGATCTGAAATTTTGCACCTGTCCTTTTCTCACAAAGAAGCTGCTCATTTGTCGAAACCGCCGATATCGGATCACTATAGCATATAGCTGCCATGTTAACTGAACAATCGGAATCAAGTGTTTGTATGGAAAACTTTTTCATTTGACGAGGTATGTTCACGAAATTCGGCATGGGTTATTGCTAGCAGAAGTAATGCAATCTCCGAAGAAATTGTTCAGATTGTATCACTATAGCATATATCTGCCATACAAACTGAACGATCGGAATCAAGTAGTTGCATGGAAAACTTTTTCATTCGACGAGATATGTTCACAATATTGTGCATGAGTTTTTGCTAGAAGAAGTAATGCAATCTCCGAAGAGATTGTTCAGATCGGATCACTATAGCACATATCTGCCATACAAACTGAACGATCGGAATCAAATGCTTGCATGGAAAACTCTTTCATTTGACGAGGTATGTTCACAATATTTGGCATGAGTTTTTGCTAGAAGAAGTAATGCAATCTCCGAAGAAATTGTTCAGATCGGATCACTATAGCATATATCTGCCATACAAACTGACAATCTAAATAAAGTTCTTATATGAAAAAAATTGTTTATGACAAGTTATCTTCACGAAATATGGCATGGATGATGATTGTCCAAGATATCGCTACTATTTTCGAACGAATTGTTCATATCAGACCGCTATTTTAAACAGCGATCATAGAAACTGACCGATCAAATGGAAGTTTTTAGTATGGATTATTGCTTAAGATGTGACTTCAATCTTCGAACGAATTCTTAAGATCGGACCACTATAGCATACAGCTGTCAGATTTAACCACTTTACAAATAACATATTATAAACAAATCAGATTAATTAGTTATTTATACTGTCCAATTTGAGCTTTCAATAAAAATTATCTTATATCTGCCAAAAACTGTTTTGCTTGTGCCAAAAGTAAGGTGTGACATGTAGCTAATTGGGACAATAAGTTGAAAAATGTGTTAAGAATAGATACATAAGAGTAAGGAGCAAAAATATTATTTAATGAACCATAAAATAAACAAATCCCTAATTATTCAAGATATATTATTATTTATTAATAATAATAGAGAACTATCTAAAGTAATTATTCAGTTTTAAAACCCTAATTAACTGATGGATAGGTACAAACCAAATCTAGGTAGAATAATAGGTAGGAAATAAATAGTTCGAAACGTAGGTAGAAAACATAACCTTGGTAAAAAAAACCTCGATAATGCCCCTTTTGTAGTTAACGCCTTAATATTTCAACTAAAATTACTTGATCAAATTTGGCATGGATTATTGGCCACGGTAACAATAAAATATCATAAGAAATATTTCTGATCTGACTACTGTATCACATAGCTGCCGTACAAACTGATCGATCTAAATAAATTTGTAAAGTAGAAAATTATGTTAAGAATATATACATAAGAGTAAGGAGCAAAAATATTATTTAATTACTCATAAAATAAATAAATCCCTAATTATTCAAGATATATTAATATTTATTAATAATAATAGAGAACTATCTAAAGATAATTATTCAGTTTTGAAACCCTAATTAACTGATGGGTAGGTACAAAACAAAACCTAGGTAGAAGAGTAGGTAGGAAGTAAACATATTTGCAAGTTAGGTAGAAAGTATAACCTAGGTAAAAAAGAACCTCTACAATGCACTTTCTGTAATTAACACATTAGTATTCCTACGAAAGTTGCTTGATGATACCAAGAAGGGCAAAAGAGTTTACAGATGTGAAGTCGGGCTCTAAAACATTCAATAAATAGGACCCAACGCATCGGATCACTTCAGTTTACGCGAGCAGCTTAAACTTTCAACAACGCAAATAACTTTCAAAATCAACGAAAAAATCCTTTTTTTAAATAATACGCATTCTTTTAATTATATTATTATTACTTAATTTATTAATATTTTAGTATATTTTTTATTTGTATAATATTTTTTAATAATTTTTGAAAATGCCAAAAGTATCTAGGCAATCGCAGGAACAAAGACGTCGCAATGCTCTGAATCGAAGCCGACGACAATATAGTCAAAATTTGGAAAATAATAGACAAAGGAACGCTGACTATATTGCAGAATTACGCAGATTTGGAGTACCGCAATGAGGAGAGAACTCGTGATAGTTCTGCACGTTCCACTAGACGACAGAACCTACTTCACAGAGCTGAAG